CTATAAAAAGCAGTCTAGGATAATTCCTCATGGAGGCAATGGAGTCAAGAAAGGAATTCTAGACCACTTCTCCAGTCTCCTTGGCTTCAGGTCCTGGATCCACCATTGGCTTAATATCCAACCTTTGGCACATCTTCAATCCCTTTCAGCTTCAACTTCTTTCTCCCTGAAATAGATTATTGAGAAGATCAAGAAAATCATGGGACAGCAATTTTTAAGTGTTGAATAAGCATGCAGCATTAATGATGACTTAGGGGACATATGTGTGTGTAAAATACAGTCATAAAGGAAGAGTTAGCTCTAAGGCAGGCAGGAATAGCAAACATTTCACTTGGAAATATACTAAAGTGTAATTAGGATCATGCACAATTAAAGTTTTTCTTTAAACTTTATTTTCCATAATGATCATGTTTTACTTCTTTCCATCCCTCCCCTCTTCTTTCTTTCCTTATTCTCCTAGATGCCTGGCACATCACGAGACCTCAATAAACACGAATTGAGTGTATCTGGGAAATGGCCTGGATTGTAAAGTCCCCCACGAAAGTGTTTTTGGCTGTGGTTAGTAGAATTGTACCCTCTATCTGGGGAAATCTTAGAGTAGTGAATGAAGTTCTTTAGATGTTTACCCATGTGAGTTATACACCGAATGTTTAGCTACTAGGGAGGGAAGTATATTTAATAGGCGCCAGTACTCAGGCTCAGTCCTAAGGATCTATGTGGCTTGTGATCCAGCTGGCTGGGAATGGGCTGTGTGATGGTTAATTCAACTTGACTGAGCCACCTGATGCCTTGGTGGCTGGCTAAACATCATTTTTGAGTGTGTCTGTGAGGGAGTTTCTGGGAGGGATGATCATTTGAATCAGTAGACCGAGTACAGCAGATCTACCCTCACCAATGTGGCATTGTGAGGCATCATGCAATTCCTTTAGGGCCTGGATAGAATAAAGAGGAGGAAGGTTGAATTAATCCCACTGACTGCTTGAGCTGGGACATGTATCTTCTGCTTTTGGTGCTCCTGGTTCTCAGGCCTTAAGACCCTGTCTATCCTGTGCTTTTCTGGATCTCCAGCTTGTAGGTGGTAGATGGCGGGACTTCTCAGTGAGCCAATACCTTATAATAAATCTTTTCCAATATATCTATATCTATATATCTTCTATTGGTTCTGTTTCTCTGGAGAACCCTGACTATACAGGGCAGAAACAGGTGGATGAAGGTTTTGTTCCTTTACCACACCCCACCTCACCAGTATTGTGCTCTGGCAAAGTGCGGCAATTCATTCAAAAGTTCTTATTTCTACAAATTAAATAAAAACACAATGAAAATTTAGTAGGTGCTAAAACTTGGTTTTGAAATTTTATTAAAAAAATATATTTGCAAACATATAAAATTTAGGATGAAAAATGCTCATTTTAAAACATGTAATAACTTAATATTTGCAAACATACACAGATGGTATAAAATCCATACCATTAAAAATGTTAATGATGCAGTATTGCGCTCATGGAACAAAAATCTTGCTGTAATTCCAGAGCCTCTCATTTCCACATTTCACAGAGCTGAGGCTCTGGTACAATTAAAGTCACGAGAGCGACATGGCCAAAGCAGTAATACAGAATAAAAAACAATTTAGAACACATATTTTAAAAACACGTTTCTTAAGGAATCACACAGATAAAAGGGAAACACAATTTTGCATTTTCCCTACTTCAAAGGGAACAGTATTGCATTTTAGCATTTTAAATGAAGATGTCAAATACGAACCGAGTGAAACACTGCACACATCTCTCTTGCTGAATTTGCTGAAAAATAGGCTCGTTGAGGCCTTGGCCCACTCAGAAATGTACTCAAGCAGCTTTTAAAAATGCTAGTATAAGTCACTTTACTTTGCTCAGATCTTAATATTTTTGACACTTGAAAACACAGGGCACTACTGGTTCTAGTAGGTACTTTGAACACAACTGAAGGAAACCAAAGGTAGGCAAGAAAGAAACCTGTGCTCAGCAGCAAATGTGCAGCAAGGACACAGACCCTCGGCCCCTGTGATTCCTCAGTTCTCTTCACTCATGCGGGCTGAGCCCCCTCATGCCTGTGCCAGCTCTCATTCCTCTCAGATTTACAGTATGATGGCTGATTTTGTTTTTTAAGCAGTTAGGCACCTTCAATTTCATGTTGCATTATTAGTAATACAATGGCAGTTACGGCCTCTACTACCAAAATGAGAAAATTTCAAACTACATTCTTTGGGGAAGGGCAGTAATAAAGCTGCATGGTTTAAAAAATAGGGCAGTAATAAAGCTGCATGGTTTAAAAAATATTTACTTAGTAGTGGATTTGATGGGGTTTATAATTTCTACAAGAAAACAAAGGCCAGTAAAAGAACAAATGCTTGACATGCAAAATCTGGTCAGACATATTCTAAATCAAGCCTGTACATCCTCCTGTAGAGAAGGGCCCAGCTGGACTTGGGTTCTTAACACAACACCACTCTCCATGATGGCTATACCTAAGCTTTCAAAGATAAACTGTGGACATTCCATATGTAGACAGCATGAAATGCTTCTCCTGATACTGACAGTTACTTGAAAACTTAGATTCAAAGTCAAATAGTCCAACTTTCACACCTTACAAATCCTAGGAGAGATGCACAAAAAAGAGAAGCCTCCATCTTAAAGGAGGTGTGGGAATCCATTCAAAGTTATCGCATTAATGACGACAAAAAGAGCAGCGCCACCCACTGGTGACGCTCCAGACACACCTCTTCTCTAAGCTTTGGGCTGCTCCTCCTGGAGCCTACACTTGGACCCCAGGGGTGGGGGTGGGCACATAGATGGACAGAGTAGTCTAAATGCAGGTCTCCTGGGGTTCTGTAAAATCAAGCTAGACGCATCTCCATCTTGGTGTCCATTTTGATTCAACTAAGGTTCCAGTAAAGACACTGCAACAATGTAAACACGCAACCAAAGCTAGCATGAGGTTCTGGATAGTAAGCCTGAACGAGGAGGAATAAGGCAACTGAACTGTGACTTTCAGGCCAGGGTCATCCAACTGCAACTATCCAGACTTGGCCTGGCTTCTCTAGGGACTCATTCTGGCCTGAACTTTCTGGCAATCAAGACTGTGAACTTCTGGCTTCTGAATTTTAAGTAAATGCTGTGAATATAGAAATTTGGGAGTTGAAACAGGTTTACCCTTTTCAAGTCTCCATGACTTGGGCACTTAAAAAGTTTACTTGCACACTGAGGAAGCCTTATCATAGATTTACTTTACTATCATATTCATCTCTAGGACATAGGGTGAAACTTAAGATATGATTACAGATCCCCTCTAGGATATTCTCTCTTAACTCTTTCATATATTATACATACTCAAAAGATCATTTAAGTTCAAATGTGTATTATAACAAGAATCCCTTGATTCGTCCATTTATCAAAGCCCACTGAGACTACACTTGGGATGCGATTAAATCTACTAGTGCATCCATTTTATGAGAACAGTAACGTGACTCCCTGGACACCATCTCCTGATGTCAGCAACACTCTGTATATTACTATCACTTTCTCTTTCCTGGATGATCCACAAGCAATTCATTTTTGGTTGCTGAATTTATACACTGTCTTTGAAAACAAACTATTCATAATTGAGTATGAAAACTTATAAGCTTCCCTGAACTCTGCACAATCCACATATAACTAGATAAACAGCAATAGAAGACAATAATTAGAAGCAGAAACATTGTTCAGGGAGCAAGTTAAGATGAACAAAAGCCAATCAAAGTACTCTTTATGCTAAAAAACTAAGATCAAACTAAAACAAGTACGTAACTCTCAAGTAATTTTCTAAAATTTCAGCTAGAAAAAAAATCTACGGACTTAACAATTGAGTTACATTAAAGCTTAAATGATTGTTCCCAAGGAACCATCACATCTGTCAGCATTATTCACAGCTAATCCTTATGCTAGCTGGTTGAGCCAATTGGGTTTTTACCCCATCATTAAATAGTGCTCAGAAAAGTAAGCAGTGCATCTTAATTGGTTAAATACTACAAAGTGACCTGTATCGTAGAAACAAAGACACTTTCATTCAAAGAATACCTTAAAATTACTATTGCTGAAATAAATCAAAATCTACATCAAAATATTACTAAACATCATTACATGCCATAAAAGAATAAATATAAATCGTGGCAGATCAATAGCAGCATAACAAAGCATCTTTACATAATTTCACACTTTGGGCTGGAAAAGTACTCACAGCCTAGGAATACATTGGTAAAGTTCTGAATTTCACACTTTCTTTTGAACTCCATATTCTACAACAAAGTAAGGGCAGTGTGAATGACAGCTCCCTTTTCTGCATAGCTTTAAAATGGTTCTCAGTACACTTGAGGAATGGAACCAGAATGGCTTTGTCAGATTGGTCCGCTGGTCCTCTTCTCAAAGTGTTAAGGAAAACAATCAACAATGACTTCTGTGTTTAGACAGAAAAGGAAAATAAGGCTGTGTTTCACACACAAACTTAACATTTTCAAAACCATTGGAGAGTTTAACTTAAAGTCAATCTTTCTGACAGGATTTGGGACTTACCAGCCCCAGCCCTTGCTTCAAGGGTGTGACCTGCCTGCTCCCACGTCACCACAGAGCCTGACAGGGAAGGCTGTGCTGGGAACCTGCTGCATGGCAGGACTCGGGACACTTAAAAGCAAAACACAATTGAGAAATTTCAGAACTTTTCAGCCCAAATGGGGCATTCATATAAAATATACTCCATTTGAACAAATAATTTCTAATTTACCAACTTAAATTCTGATCCTTAAAACTCAAAGCTACTTTGCAGAGCTGACTTCTCCTGTTTAGAACTTGATGATCAGCCTAACGCCCAAGTTTATAGAGCATAGGAGGAGGGGAAAGGGTGTGGGCTGGGGTGCACTCTGACTGAGGCAAGGCTGTTGACTTCTCCTGAAGTCCTTGAAAGTGAAAGCAAGCTGAAAATCACACTCCTCATTTCACACATTCATTTATAGCTGATGAAAACACCCACATAACTTAATAAGATGATTTTTTTTTTGTCAAAACAAAGGTCTGCTGGTGATGCTTCACAGTGAAACCTTGATTATCACTGAGAATGCCACTTGGAAAACATTCTTAAGGAAATGAGTCCCTTTCTCATAGGCTCAATTTCAGGATTCTCAAAACTCAACGTTTTGTTTAGAAGTTTCCATGATGAGGCATATTTTCTTCACAGGTTGACAACCTGCCTTCAGATTTATTCCACTCCAGTCATAAGGTGTGGTTGTCTTTGTTCTTGGTCAGAACCTGCAAGTAGACTTCATGAAGTGTACTAAGGAAGCTGGAATCATTCTGGAAGAGATGGTAAATGTAAGAACACAGAATGCAACATTTACCTCAACAGAACTTACTTCCTTGATAACAGCTTAGGGAAAAAATTGTATAAATGATTTGTATAACTAATTACTAATTACCCAAATAATCCAGCAATACCACCTGGAGACAATTAATATTTTGGAGACCACACAGATATTTCCCACCAGGAGCGTATGCTCAGGAAGAGAAACACTCTCCCAGTAAGTCTTTTGAATTTACCTTAGGATCTGATTCTGTAAGGAGACCTTATAAAATGTTCTTTTTTTTTTTTAAACTAAAGAATAAAAAATTCTTTTATTTTTATTTTACTAAAGAACAAAAAGACTAAATTGATATCCTGCGTACCTTTATTAGATGTATTAATGTATCCTGGAGCTGAGACTTGCTGAGAACAATGGAAGGCTTTCTTTGATTTTCTGGTGTTCCAACAGTTAGAGGAGAAGGGGAGCTTGCTTTCCTCTCAAGGTCTGTGGACCTTGTAACTGCCTGCTGGAAAACACTTGGGGACAGAAGGACTGAAGACACTGCTGTGGTTGTTGCAGTAACCAGTGGGGGGCCTGCAACCTGCAGGGGAATAACGGTCATTTTGCACCAAACCGCAGTAACCAGCAGCCAGGCCCAGAATAGGGAACATCTGATTACAAGCATAAGCAGAACAACACTAGAGTGCAGAGTCACATCCTAACTATTTTAGGTTCAGGTAAACATTCAGTAGAAACATTTGAACACTTTATATCTGGTTGAAGCTTCAGTTAGCTAACGGACGAAGGGCCCATTTATATAAGAATGCCCTAGAGTAGTTATGGGAAGCCAAGTCCAATAATCACAGAAAATGAATATAACAAATAAAAGTGTAGCATGCACAGTAAAAACAACCCTATGATAAATTAAAAATGCAAAGTTTTTTTGGGTGGGGGTGGGGGAAAGACTGGAAGGGGCATGAGGGAACTTTCTGGGGTTGACAGAAATGTTACGTATTTTGATTGAGTTGGTGGTTACCCAGGGGTTTTATATGAGGCATCTTCAAAAAGTTCATGGAAGGATTCTTATTATTTTTAAATTCTATTTTTCCATGAACTTTTTGCAGTACCCTTGTATACATGTGTCAAAACTCATTAAAAAACCCTGCATTTCACTATATTTAAATTATTCTGCAATAAAAAGAGAACTTAAAAACCCAGTTATATGAAGCACTTGTTTCTTTTGTGATGTTCGAGATATTTATTATACCATTACAGGTATCAAAGACAAAATTCCTTAAAAATAAAGTGAACATCTACCTTCTTTTCCCATTTAGATGTGCTTCTAGGCTAATTACAGCTAACAATCAGAATACACTAAACCATAATAATCAGTATTATGAATAATTCTTACACCCGATACAGTCAACAGACACCTACATTTCTTTCTCCTATATATCATCTCCTCATTTATAAATAGCAAAGAGCTTGCCACAATTTTAAGGACGTGATTTCTGGTATTTGAGCCATTTAGCTCGTTTTTCGGTGCTAAACCAGGCTGATAGCTCCTGCTGATTATACTAAGACAAGCTATGGAAAAGACTGGTTAACAAGACCAGTCAGAAGCTGACTTTAATTTAAATTCTGGGGCTGTAAAAGCTCAAAGGCAAACAGAAATGTGACATTTAAAGAACTGGAAAAAAAGGGTGTGTAGTTCAAGGGTGGTGGGTGATGGAGAGCGGAGATAGCATGTAAAAAATGAGGCAAAGAAGGACAAACAAGGGACAGAGTATGCAGGTGTGGGAGGCTTTGTCATCAGAGCAATGGGGAATGAGAGAATTCTAGCAGGATAGTGGCTCTGCCCCTGGGACAGCACAGTTCTTCCAGGGCAGGAAGTATTTCCTACTAACAGAAATCAGGCTGACCCATTCTCAGCAGTCACCCACTCACAAACACTTAATGTGGGCCAGCCCTGTGGCTGACCCTACCCTCTATGCACATGGTCAGTGAAGACATCCACGCAGAGATGACTAGAGGCCTACCGAGGCCACAGCAGAGTGCTCTGCCTGGGGGAGCCTGGCCTAGCAGAGATTCTAAGACAGCTTGGGTTTGAAAGCTAAGGTAACAATGTTTTAGTTCATACTGAGCAGAACTTAAAAATACAGTTGAACAACACAGGTTTCAACTATGTGGGTCCATTTACATGCAGATTTTTTCCAATAAATGTTATAAATGTATTTTTTCTTCCTTATGATTTTTTTTTTTTTTCATGACCGGTAACGGGATCGCAACCCTCGGTGTCACGCCCGCACCGTGACCGGCAACGGGATCGCAACCCTCGGTGTCGCACCCGCACCGCGCTCAACCAGTGAGTGGACTGGTCTCTATATGGGATCCGAACCCTCGGCGGGAGCACCGCCGCGCTCCCAAGCGCCGCACTCTACTGAGTGCGCCACCGGGCCGGCCCCTTCCTTATGATTTTTTAAATAACTTTTCTTCTAGCTTACTTTATTGTAACATTACAGAATACATACAACATACAAAATATGTGTTAATCCACTGGTTATGTTATTGGTAAGGTTTCCAGACAACAGCAGGCTATCAGTAGTTAAGTCTTGTGGAGTCAAAAGTTATATGTAAATTTTCACTGTGGGGGGTCGTGGGATGAGGGCTGGCATCCCTAACCCCCGAGCTGTTCAAGGGCCAACTGTACATAATGTATTCTTCAGAATAAAGGAGTCCTTACCGGGATGGCACTGGATAACACCTTAGGCTGGGCAAATACTTCAGGATCCTGGTTTTGCTGCATAGACTGAAATATTTAAAAAGAAAAGATGAACGCATGTAGCAAGTTTCAATCATGATTTCCTAGTTATTGGTAAAAAATCTAGGTTAACAATAAGGAATGGTTCAGACATTAACTAGTTCCTTGATTCCTGAGGAAAGAGGCTGACAGGAACTTGCAACTCCACTGCACAATGAGAACTTTGGGACTGAAGAGGAGAGGGCTTTGTTCCCCTGAGAAAAGGGGTAAATGCACAGCCTTTCAGACATCTCAATAAAAATCTAAAACCTGTATCTCTCATGAGAGCTGGGACAGCACAGGCATATTTTTGATGTTGAGTCTGCAGAAATGAGAGATTCAGCCAGTGATACCTCCTGATAAGGTGATTTAGACTTGGACATGTGTCACTAAACAGTCTTCATCCAGAGTTACACTTTCATGTGTTCAATTCATTCACTTTCATGTGTCCTCATTCATTGGAGAGAACTTCTTGTTGTAGAGCAAATACATTAGAACTCAATAAAGCCCCAGGTCCTAAAATTAGTTTCTGCCAAGTAAATAAAAATGTACACATATGTAAGCATCCCCGGCCAGTAGGCATGCTAGAGTGTGGTGTTGTTCCAGAGGCCAGAATCTGGACAGGGCAGTGTTCAAGACTGCTGGTTATACTTCCAGAACAACTGAAACAGTGGCAGCAGGGGCCTTTCAGGGGTGACACACCTATCTATTGAACAGAATATTCTCTTTTTATACTGCACAGAACCTCAGCTGAAATGGCCAAAGAATGACAATATAATGGTGTAACCAACATACTAAGTTTCCTCCTTTTCAGTACAAGATCTCTTCAGATCTGGATCTATGGTCCTGAGTCAAATGAGGACTCCTGGAACTAATAGGCAGAAGAAAAACAAACAAAAAACCCTAAAACACATACCCGGATAAGAATATACGAATACAGTTTCTTAGCTTTTATCAGTTGAAATAATTTTGGGAAGTGGAATTGAGCTATAGCACCATTTACTGATTATTTAGTTGTTCATCATAAAGCTTCTTACCTTCCCTCTCTCCTAGCCCCAGACATACTTTAAAGAGACAACTCTTTAAAAACTACTCTGTCTCATGTCAGTTAAAACCAAGGTCTTTGCCGTTTCATCCCATCCAATTATAGTTACCCATCTTCCTGCCACTACCTGGAGGGGAGCGAGCACCATGTTGCTGAGGGAGGCTGAGGGTGCTGCTCTTGCTGCTGCTGTCTTGGAGGGAGGCTCTATGAAGCTCTCAGGTGTGGCCAGTTGGCTGGATGCTGGAGAAAAGCTGGGTGCCATTGCACCTTTCCCAAGTGGCTGCGTCTGTATTTGGTCATGCTGTGGGGTCAACCTGAGTTTCTGGAGAAGATCAACACTTGGGAGGGATGTGCCAGCTGTATTCGTCACACTCAATGGGGCCCTGAAGGGGCTCTGGCTGGCAATCAGACTGGTGTGGCTTAGCTCAGGGACTGGCTGATTCAGGAGTGGAGACCTCTGTCTAGGTGTGGTCTTCACTGCCTGCATCATGGTGCTGTTTCGAGGTAAACTGGGGGGAACCTGTGCAGTAGGAGCTTCAGCTGGTAGAGTGGGACTGAGAACAGGGCTCAATGGGATTGTGTAGCTTGGGGCATGCTTCTCACTAGACTGTGTGATAGAGGCTGGGGTGATTAGCAGTGGGGTGGTGACTTCGGGTTGGACTGAGTGGTGGGCAGCAGAATGAACACCTAGGTTTTCTGACTGCGGGACTCCTCCTGATTGATCAAAGGTGAATGGTAGGAATGAGCTGGGATCTTTCTGGGAGGCATCTACTGGCAGCTTCTCCACTTCTTCTGAATCCAGACCCATGACTGCAGGCTGTTCCTTTGGCAAAGAGGTTCCAAATAGCTCTTCCACTGTCAGATGTTTGTGTCCAGATGGAGCAGACTGAAAAACAAATCAAACCACGCAGTGAAAAAAAATCTCTTGAAAACCAGTGTAACCAAACTTCTTTTCCACTGACCAAAACAGTTTGCAGAAGCAAAGATGGATGGAGTCTGAAAATAAGGAATGGAACAAACTGAAGATGCACTTGGGGTTAAGGCCAAGGCACACCTAGTATCCTTAAGTTGGAGGATGGAAACCCACATATAGTAATAAAATTCAAATTTTAGGGACTCCAGGTAATAGTGTTAGAATTCAATTTCTTGGCAAATGGATATAAGGGGAAGGGGCAATTACATTATTACAAAGCTAATAGTACCTAATTGCTCCATGTCAGTAGCACACATAGGAAAATGATACCAGAGAGGACAGAGCAACCAAATGCTGATCAAGCAATCCTATTATTATTTTCACTGTTCTTGATAAAAAGCTAGGCATTGAACCTTGGACACTGGGTCCCAAATAGCAGAAAATAAATTTAACCATTCAATAGCAGGCTATTCTCTCTCCCTATACCTAAATCACAGAATCTTTAAGAAAAAGCAAAGCATTTAAGCCTGAAAATTTAAAATTTACAATTTTAGTAAATTGGCTTATTGACATCATTGCAGCTATTCAAGGGAAAATTTATTCATGGTTTCCACTTGTGAGCTTTCCTGCACCTTCAAGCAGTACTGCCAAATTCATTTGACCTTTATTTCCTGAATACTTACAGGGTGCCAGGCTCTGCTCTGATCAGGGCCCAAGGTACACAGCAGGGAATAACAACAGAAGTACTGACAAAGCTTGCATTCTAGTGGGAGACACACTTAAGTAATTTGAAAACACAGGCAAGCTTATGTTTTTTATTCCTAAAATGTATGATCTATTTAGTTGTTTAGATATGTGTTTATATTGTGTGAAAGTTGATGAAATCACTTTCTGTCAGACCCAGACAAAATAGGGCCGGGAAAGGCACAAAGGTGGGGGGCTTATGCTTGCTTGTTTAAGATAAGAACTGTTTCCAAGGACTTTCTAAAACCCTTCAGAAATCCCTTCCTGTCCTTCATGCACTTCCTGCTATGCATGTATGCACATACAAGGAGGGTACTTCAAAAAGTTCATGCAAAAATAATTATCTTTTAATTCTATTTTTCCATGAACTTTCTGAGGCACCCTCACATTTCTGACAAGGCTTATCATTCTTTAGAACTAAAGTAATTCATATAAGATGCCCTGAAAGAAACTTGCTTAGTAATGGCATCTCAACCAATAAACTGATGAGAAATCTGGCTTTGAGTCTCCAAAATTAATGAACTCTATTTCCAAACAGCTTATGTGAACATCTCTCCCTTTCTGCCAGTAAAAGCTTTCTCTTACCTTTTCCTCACCAAATGTAATCATGGCTTGCCATGGTGTACATTCCAGATTATAATCCTATTTTTCTATTCCTGAATATACTCAATATATTTTGAGATATTTTTGTCTAAAGTGTTCTTTTTTAGGTTAACAATCAAAAAAATTAATTCACTGAAACACGATTTTCAGGGTCTCAGTCTATAAGGCTGTAAAGTACACTGCATTTGAAGTATAATTGTGATAGCACTATGGTATAATCACATTTCTATAGGGAAAAACCCCCAGTTTCTTCCAGGTACATGTATGTTTCATCCATTTGACAAATAACTATTGAGTTTACCAGGTGCCAGGCACTGTGCTGTGATTGTGAGGTGGAGAAAGACAACTGGTGCTGAGTGCTCCCCTACAGCAGAGCTGCAGGACCCATGGGAGGAAAAGAGGCACCCAGAAAGGGGACCTTAAGTGGAGAAATGAGGTGAGACGGCTGAAGAGCACAGCCACTTTGGGAACTGCAAGTACTTCAGCAGGGCTGGGTCAGAGGGTGGGTAAGATGGAGGGTGATGAAGGGAAGAGAGAAGTACCAGCCAGACTGCAGCGTGTCTGAGACACATGAGGGGAATTCTGGACTTTATCTGTAGGGCAACAAGGACCCATTCAGGGAATGAGCCATTCAGCTCTATATTTTAGGATGTGCACCTTGGATGCTACAGAAAGGACAGTCTGGAGGGGTGAGATTGAGGAGAGTCTGAACCAAGGTCCTGGCAGAGAAAAGGATGAGAACCAAGGAGTTAGAATGGAAGGAGTTGGTGGTGGCTGGCCAAGAGGACACCCTGTTATCAGGGTACTGGGTGGTGGTGCCACTGTTTGGGCAGGCAAGCCCAGGAATAACCCCTAGGTTGAGGGAGGGAGGGGGAAGCTGAGGTCAGTTTTGAACATGTCTGAAGTCTCTGTGGGACATCTGGAAGCTGGAGGTATTGAACTGGAAGTTATAAAAGCACAAAAAAAGGCAATTAAGTCAAGGGAGCAAAGGAGAAAAGTCTCCCTCAAGGAGACTGCAGGGACAAGCCTTAGTGCCCTACCAACCACCAAGAGGCGGGTCCTCGAACAGCACTGCTGCTGCCTGCTCTGCTTCCTTCAAGCTGTGTAACCTGGGGAGAGTCACTCACCTCTCTGAGTCTCAGCTCCTCTGTAAAGTAGGGAAGGCTGGTGGGAAGCTGAAATGTATAGAACTCAGCATATAGGAAGTGCTTAATGTTAGAACTCATAATAGCAGCAGAAAGCAAGTTCCTCTAAGACAGGGGCTGTCTTTCTCATTTATTCCTGGATCCTTGCCCTTCCTCCTGGGCTTGCCTGGCCCAAGCAATAGAACCACCCAGTACCACAGATCCAAAAAGTACATAGTAGCAGCTCATCAACACTCTCTTCCCAAAGCTCTCCCACAGGGGGAAAGGCTGGCATGATAAGAGAGGAAGATCTCCAGGAGCAGGCCCTTAAGGGGTTAGGGGTAAGGGATCCCCTTTGCCAAGGAGGGACTCATATCAGACAGCAGGGAAAGTAGACCAGCACTGATGAGAACTGGAGTTTGCATGTGAGAACAGAAAGTTAAGGGAGCACCATTTTGAATTTTCTCTCTGGTATGAAGAAAGCATCATCTGCTAGTAGAAAGGTGGCAGCACAGGTCTGAAGATAACACGATCAGTGTGAAATAACTGTTGTGGGGGAAGAGGCAGAAGCCTCCCTTAGTTGTAAAAAGTTGTAGCTTCACACCAAACCATTTTATCTTAGAAAATATTTAATAAAGAGAATTCTATTTATATTAAAATGCAAACATAATGTCTTGGGAACTTAATGTGACAAGAGGTCCTTTTTTTAAGTGAAGAAATTCTCAAATGGTAAATTTAGGTCCTCCACTAATAATGCTCTAGTAAGATTACCTTGTCACAACACTCTAGCATTTAAATGTTTTTCCAGATTCAGAATCTCACTTCAAATATAAGGCAGTACTAACATCTAATTGTAAACTGTGGATGTAAAATAAAATGCTAAAGATTTTACATGGTTCAATTTCCTCATATTTTTACTTCTGAAAACACTGTACAGCTTAGGGTCTGAAATCAAAGGTATCCGGGTTCAATTCTCAGCTGTTAACTGGGAAAATTGCATAATCTTTCTATTTAGCTCCTCCCCTCATCTGAAAAATGGGGACAATTGTGGCAATTATCTCATAGAGCTGTTATGAAATCAAACTCTCAATATAATGTCTGGTGCTGAAAAAGCATTCAATAAATTGAAACTGGCTATTACTATCACATAAATACCATATACTCTTAAAAAGCAATCATGATAAATCTGTTTGGATACTTTTTTTTTTCCTTTTTGTCTTTTTTACTGACCGGTAACGGGATCACAACCCTCGGTGTCGTGCCCATACCGGGGACCGGCAATGGGATCGCAACCCTTGGTGTTGCGCCCGCACCGCGCTCAGCCAGTGAGCGGGAACCGGTCTCCACATGGGATCCGAACCCTCGGCGGGAGCGCAGCCGCGCTCGCAAGCAGCGCACTCTCCAGTGCGCCACTGGGCCGGCCCTGTTTGGATACTTTTTAAGGAATACCAAATAATATATAATAAAAATGTGTTGGGATATTAAAAATTCATCAAATCCTTCTGGAATATCACACCCTATAATGCAAAACAACAAAATCACCTGATGGGATACCAAGGGCATACTATTATAAACTACCCTGTCATTCCCTGATGCAAGGAATCATCAAGGACACAGCTGTTTGTTTAAAACTCCTTGGTAACATTTCAAACCCACTCAATGTAAGTAAAAATAGACAACTAATTGTCCCTTGGGACAGACTTCTCTGTCCAGGCCATATAACTGTAGTCAAATGCACAGGTTCTATTTCCCATAATGAACACCGTGACTTATTCACTTTTGGATCCCTGGTATCATAAATGTCCGTTGACAGCACAGAGATAATTCCCTCTCCCCTTTAAAAAACTGTGGTAAAATATACATAACAGAAAATTATATGTTGTAGCATGTATCAGAATCTCATTCCTTTTATGGGCAAATAATATTTCCTTATATGTATATATCATATCCTGTTTATCCATTCATCTGTTGATAGACACTTGAATTGTTTCCACATTTTGGCTAGTGCAATTAGTGCTGCTATGAACATTGGTGTAAAAGTATCTGTTTGAGTCCCTCTTTTTAGTTCTTTTGGGTATATACCCAGAAGTGGGAATTGCTGTATCATATGGTAATTCTACGTTTAACTTTTTGAGGAACTGCCAAACTATTTTCCACAATGGCTATACCATTTTACATTATCACCAGCAATCTAAGAGGGTTCCAATTTCTCCATATCCTCGCCAACACTTGTAATTTTGTCTTACTGATAGTAGCTATACTAATGGATATAAGGAGGTATCTCATTGTGGTTTGGATTTGCACGTCCCTAATGACTAGTGATATCAAGCATCTTTTCATGTGCTTATTGGCCATTGTATATCTTATTTGGAAAATGTCTACTCAAGTTTTTTGTCCATTTTAAAATTGGGTTAATTCCTTTTTTTTTTTTTTTGTCTTTTGTCTTTTTCCGTGTCCGGCAATGGATCGCAACCCTCAGTGTTGCCCCCGTACCGGACCGGG